TCCTCCTGCTGACAGTGAGCCATGTTATAACTCCCAATATCCCCAGCCATATATATATAATCCTCCTGCTGACAGTGAGTCATGTTATAACTCCCAATATCCCCAGCCATATATATAATCCTCCTGCTGAAATTGAGCCATGTTATAACTCCCAATATCCCCAGCCATATATATATATAATCCTCCTGCTGACATTGAGCCATGTTATAACTCCCAATATCCCCAGCCATATATATATATAATCCTCCTGCTGACATTGAGCCATGTTATAACTCCCAATATTCCCAGCCATATATATAATCCTCCTGCTAACATTGAGCCATGTTATAACTCTCAATATCCCCAGCCATATATATATAATCCTCCTGCTGACAGTGAGCCATGTTATAACTCCCAATATCCCCAGCCATATATATATATATATATATAATTCTCCTGCTGACAGTGAGCCATGTTATAACTCACAATATCCCCAGCCATATATATATATATATATAATCCCCCTGCTGACATTGAGTCATGTTATAACTCCCAGTATCCCCAGCCATATATATATAATCCTCCTGCTGACATTGAGCCATGTTATAACTCCCAGTATCCCCAGCCATATATATATAATCCTCCTGCTGACATTGAGCCCTGTTATAACTCCCAATATCCCCAGCCATATATATATATATATAATCCTCCTGCTGACATTGAGCCATGTTATAACTCCCAATATCCCCAGCCATATATATATATATATATATATATATATATATAATCCTCCTGCTGACACTGAGTCATGTTATAACTCCCAATATCCCCAGCCATATATATATAATCCTCCTGCTGACAGTGAGCCATGTTATAACTCCCAGTATCCCCAGCCATATATATATATAATCCTCCTGCTGACAGTGAGTCATGTTATAACTCCCAATATCCCCAGCCATATATATATAATCCTCCCGCTGACAGTGAGCCATGTTATAACTCCCAGTATCCCCAGCCATATATATAATATATATATAATCCTCCTGCTGACACTGAGCCATGTTATATCTCCCAGTATCCCCAGCCATATATATATATAATCCTCCTGCTGACAGTGAGCCATGTTATAACTCCCAATATCCCCAGCCATATATATAATCCTCCTGCTGACAGTGAGCCATGTTATAACTCCCAATATCCCCAGCCATATATATATATAATCCTCCTGCTGACATTGAGCCATGTTATAACTCCCAGTATCCCCAGCCATATATATATATAATCTCCTGCTGACATTGAGCCATGTTATAACTCCCAGTATCCCCAGCCATATAAATATAATCCTCCTGCTGTCATTGAGCCATGTTATAACTCCCAATATCCCCAGCCATAAATATATATAATCCTCCTGCTGACATTGAGCCATGTTAGAACTCCCAATATCCCCAGCCATATATATATAATCCTCCTGCTGACATTGAGTCATGTTATAACTCCCAGTATCCCCAGCCATATATATATAATCCTCCTGCTGACATTGAGTCATGTTATAACTCCCAATATCCCCAGCCGTATATATATATAATCCTCCTGCTGACATTGAGCCATGTTATAACTCCCAGTATCCCCAGCCATATATATATATTCCTCCTGCTGACATTGAGCAATGTTATAACTCCCAGTATCCCCAGCCATATATATATATATATATATATATATATATATAATCTTCCTGCTGACACTGAGCCATATTATCACTCCCAGTATCCCCAGCCATATATATAATCCTCCTGCTGACAGTGAGCCATATTATAACTCCCAGTATCCCCAGCCATATATATATATAATCCTCCTGCTGACATTGAGTCATGTTATAACTCCCAGTATCCCCAGCCATATATATATAATCCTCCTGCTGACAGTGAGCCATATTATAACTCCCAGTATCCCCAGCCATATATATATAATCCTCCTGCTGACATTGAGTCATGTTATAACTCCCAGTATCCCCAGCCATATATATATAATCCTCCTGCTGACAGTGAGCCATATTATAACTCCCAGTATCCCCAGCCATATATATATAATCCTCCTGCTGACACTGAGTCATGTTATAACTCCCAGTATCCCCAGCCATATATATATATATATATATACAGGGGTCAAGTCCTGGGGAAAAAAGTGTGGGAACTCACCCAAGATTCCCGCCTCCCCTCTCCTTCCCCCCCTTAAAAAAAAAAATTAAAAAATTACACTCCTATGCATATAGTGCAGTGCAGGGTGTGTATAATGAATGTAGTGTGTTTGTAGTGAATGCAGAGTATGAATAATAAATGTGTGTTTGTAGTGAGTGCAGTGTGAATAATAATTGTAGTGTATTTGTAGTGAGTGCAGAGT